CACCAGGAGAAGGGACAACAGGCCCTGCTTCCCAGAGGCTTACAGACGCCGGGGAACAGCCAGGGACCCTGGGGAGAGCCACTCTGTCATCGGATGTTAGGTGACCAGGACACATCAGCTATTGATCTATTTCTTGTGAGATTTTCCTCCCTGAAGGTTGTCCTGTCTATAAACACTGTAACTGAGGTCAGGTCATCCTTTTACAGGCGAGGAAAGGATTTTCTGAGCAGTCAAGAAACTTGCCTAGAGCGGCACAGCCAAGTGGCAGAAACTGACTTCAGGGTCTCTCGGTCTCTCTCTCTCTCTCTCTCTCTCTCTCCACATCTCTCTCCTGCTCTTCCAACACCACACTGTTGGTCGCCGTGAAAACCACCAACAATCCAAGAAACAGGGAACACTGGCCTTTGGTTCCCTCAGCCAGCATGACAAGCACCGTTCAAACGCTGGGGACACACGTCGGAAAACACGACCAAGGTCCCTTGCCCTAGGACGCCCACTCTCCCACAGGAAGGAGACGGCACCATCAACGAGAATGCTGGGATGATGGGTCAATTAGGGAGTGAGAGGGGCTGCGGGTAAAGGGTGAGAGGATCAGGAGAAAGAAGAGCAATTCACAAGTTTGTCATCTTACCCAGCAAACATTTGTCTACTTATTTTGCCTTTAAAAAGCAGCTTTGAGATATCGTAATAGACAAAGAAGGGGAGATACTTAATGTGTACATTCTGATGAGCCACAAACTCTTACTGAGTCTCTTTTATGCACAAAGCAATGGAGGAGTGGGCCAGATATAACGACTGGGGGCCTGCATTCAAGAAATCAGCATTCTCACTGGTGAGATGCATCCCTGTGTAATTTCATGAAAGGCAGGGCATGATGAGTGCTCTGCAGAGGAAGAGGAAATGAGGAGTGGAGATGGGACTTTAGCAGAGAAGATCAAGGACATGTTCACAGGAATGCAAAGCATTGGGGCTGGTCCTTTGATGGATGAGAGGGTCGTCGAGGAGAGGAAGGCAACAGGAGCCACTGGAGCGTGTTGGATACGAGAACCACGTCAGGAAAATTCATCTGGTGGTGCTGGGAAAGATGAATGGGAGAAAGGAGAAACCACAGTGCCATTCAGGGGAAAAAGAAAAGTGCCATTTTCTGCAACTAAACTGTTACATCGTAAAAACTGTTTTAATTTTATTCCACAGTGGGCTCTGAAGAGGCAGCGAAGGCACAATTGCAGTCAAGTTAATCGAAATGAAAATGTAATGTTAAATCCGACTGCTAGCTGATGCTATCAACGCTACCAAGAGGATTCAGAATGATCTTCGAAGCCATAAAGTAGTAAGAAACCAACCCTATTTTTGAGCATGTTCCTTTTTAATTTCTTTAAACAACTGAACCATGTGGCTGCTTTAGGCAAAAAAAACGTTTCACAAAAATTGTCTAGAAATAAAACTTAATATAATCACTTAAAATATCCTAGGGGAGGCCACTAATAGAGAAATTACATATGAATTCATAAAGTAAACAATTTCTGTGATATAATTAGCCCGTTGCTCAACTGCTATGTATAACATACTAAACTTATATATTTAGCTTAATGATGTAGCATTAGTAGGTCTAAAAGAATTACGCGTTAAACTAGAGGCCCAGTGCACAAATTCACGCACAGGGCAGGGGGTGGGGGCGTCCCTCAGGTGGCCTGTAGGGATGGGGCCAAAACCCACAGTCCGACACCCCTGCAGCTCCTACCTGCTGCTCCCGCTTATCCTGGCCCCGCTGCGCCTGCCCCGGGCTTGTGCCCATCTGTCCTGATGAGGAGAGGCTAGCACTGCTGCAGCAGCACTCACCAGGCATGAGCCCTGTGTCGGGTGTCCTCCCGAGAAGAGTGGCCTGTGGGATCGGGCTGAAACCAGCTCTCTGACATCCCCCAAAGGGGTCCTGGATTGTGAGGGTGCAGGCCAGGCCAAGGGACCCCACCGGTGGACAATCAGGCTGGGGAGGAACTGCATGGAAGGGCTCCTGGGTGTGTCCGGCCCCGTCTCGCCCAGTCCTGATCCACAGATTGGGGGCTGGCTGGTCGGGGAGGGACGCAGGAGGTTGGCCAGCCAGGGAGAGACTGCAGCAGGGCTCCAGGGCATGTCTGGCCCATCTTGCTCAGTCCTGAGGAGGCTGGACCCCAGCAGCAAGCTAATTTACCAGCCAGAGTGACTGCCCCCTTGTGGTCAGTGCATGTCATAGCGACTGAATGACCGGTCGACTGTCTACCCCGATGGTCAGTGCACGTTACAGTGAGTGGTTGAGCGGCCTTAGCATATCATTAGCATATTATGTTTTGATTGGTTGAACAGTCAACTGGTCACCAGACGACCAGATACTTAGCATATTAGGCTTTTATTATATAGGATTCCAAAATATGGCAACGCCATCCTGAAATTTCTCCACATCCAACATGCTTCTGAGATATACTTCACTTGTCTAGTTTGAACTTGACCTCTTCAACATTAAGTCTTACACAGCTGAAAATCATTTTTAATGCTACTAGAACTAAACTCTATGAATCCATCCAAGTCTGCTTTAAAAAAGAAGAATCAAGTCCCGCTGGAGTGATGTAGTTGATTGTGTTGTCCTGTGCACCCAAAGGTTGCTGGTTCAATTCCCAGTTAGGGCACATGCCCAGGTTGCAGGCTCTATTCCTGGTAGGGAGCATGCAAGATGATTCTCTTTCGTGTCAATGTTTCTCTTTTCCTCTCTCTTCATCAAAAAATC